AAATATATAAAAATTAAAAGTTCAAGTTCAATTTAGTATAATTGTAAGTTTGAATTTTTAAAATTTAAACAGTTAAAATTAAAAATTAAATTTACCAATATATTAAATATATAATTTTAAAATAAATACCCAAAATTTTAAATAAACAAAGTCTAAAGTACGAAGAAGCGTACCAAAATGAAGCATAAATAATTGAATGTATAAAATTAACCATTTTTGCACAACATAAATCATCAAAGCCAGCAGCAGAGCAGATTTAACGTTCCCATTTTTTGCAGCAACCAAACGGAGTTAACATTTCACACTTATTGGGGAATAGCTTAGCTGCTGATGCTTGGAAACAGCTTCTCGTTCAAGCAGTTTACAGCATCCAACTTTAGCATCAGATCAGCCACCATCAATCTTTTTCTGCAAAATCCTCCAATCTTCCAACTCAAACCCCAGAATCGCAAAATCCCCCGAGCCCATTTCTCAATGGCAAGTCCCGCAGCCCCAGTTTCAGTCCACAGACCCACCATAACTCACATAATCTTTGACATGGACGGTCTCTTGCTGGGTAATTGTCTCGCAAGCTTTTCTTTTTCAGAATCTTGTTGTTTCGTGTTTGTAGTAGCATTACTCTTCGTAATTGTTTAGGGTGAGGGTGTTTGATGCATTTTTCGCAATCAAGTTGAGTCCTGGAATTGCAGGTTAGACCTAATTGGATTTATACTAAGTGAGTTTACTAAGAAATCACTGAATATAAGCTCCAATGACTAATGGCATAGGTTCTAATTTATGCTTGAACTTTGAAGGGTGATGAGGTGAATATCCAAGATTTTTTCTTTCTCATTTTTTTTTTTGGGGTTAATGGGGTTGATCTGTATTTAGCTGTCAGTCACAGGGTCTGTTTAGAAGAGCTTCAGAGAAAGTAAATGCTAGGGTTTGTAAATATATAATGGATGAATAAGTGTATTGTCTAGAATATCTATGGAATTCAATCCGAAAGAGAAGCCTTTCTTCACTGACATCCAGAATTTATTCTCATAGATGAAAATTTTCAAATCTTATAAGGAACATTTAATCTAATATGATATGGTTATGCTGCTGCATGCTGCAGACACGGAGAAGTTCTACACTGAAGTCCAGGAAATCATACTAGCAAGATATAACAAGTCTTTTAATTGGTCTCTTAAGGCAAAAATGATGGGAAAGAAAGCAATGGAATCTGCTCGGATCTTTGTTGAAGAGACTGGGATCAGTGATTCGCTTTCGGCGGAGGATTTTCTTGTAGAAAGAGAAGAGATGCTGCAGAAATTGTTTCCATCAAGTGAGCTCATGCCAGGTATTAATTTTTCTTTTAAGGCGTTGTATCCATCCTTTAATTTTTTTCCACAAGAATGTTGTATGTACAAGTTCTAGGAAATAATAATTAATCCAAAGGCAAGGATCAAGAGTACTTTATAATTGTTTGCTGAAAAACACAAATTTTCTTAAGTTTAAATGATATTATGTAGTTTTACCCATATTGATTGTTGATATTTATTTGCCAAAATGAGCAAACAAGGCAGAAACATCTTAAGTAAATTACTAATTTATATCAGTTACTTTTAGTGTTTTTATTTGGTTGCTGATTCTTTTTCCTCTCCCAGCAACCATTATTGTGGCTTGAAGGAGTGATTATGAATGAATTTATGATGATAATTTGTAAGAATGGCTTTTTCTTTCTCATCACTTGCTTGGATAATAGTAAGACAAGAATATTGTTTGAGAACCTGGCTTAGGTGTTGTGCTTTTTGGAACTCATGATAATACATATAGAGATTCATGCTTAATATTAAGGGGGGTCTCTCTACATGACTATTCCATATCAAATTGGAGCTTCTTTTATAGCTTCTCCAATCAACATCTGCATACGGTTACTGATTTATTCAATTTCTTCATTGATCTCAGAAAGTGCCATTCCAATCAAATAACTCAGTTTCTGCAGAACAGTTTTTCTTTTATTCTGCCTCCAAATCCATATGAGCATTTTTTTTTCTTTTGGAGAAGTTGTTAGTTGATATATGACTTGTTGCACAAGATGAAATTTCCTGGCCAGGAATTCAAGATTTCACATGACTGTCCATCAAACCAAATGATGAAAGATGATTAATTTTGTAGGATTCTTAGATTCAACCCTTTTTATTAGTGGAAACTAGAAAGGTATACTTCTTTGCGAGGACATTTCGACATATAAATTGAATAGGGGAAGTGGAATGCAAAGAAGTTCTTGCAAGTCTTCTGATGTTCAAATTGAAGCTGACATTTAACAGTCCAAAATTTGGTCTTGCGTGTGGTTGCTTCCTTAAAATACTTCCAGACAATACTTATGGCTAAAGAGGGGCGATGGGCTCAAGGGTGGTTTCAGCACTAGCAGACAATTGAAATCTGGAACCTACCTTCTAAATAATGGTTCCATGATTTCAAAACTGTAATCTTTTGCATAATGGTCAGTACTAGTTCTCAAAACTAAAAGTGCAAGGCTGGTTCTGACTGGCTCTAGACTAAAAAAGAAAGGTCTTTGACGGTAGTGAATGAGTAAATTTGGGAAAGAGAAAGAGGAGGTCAACTTTGGTGTTTTGTTTTTATTTTATTGTTACTGGAAATGATTTGTAAGTAATACTCTCTTGTAAATCTTTTCCTTATTTTAGGGGCTAGCCGTTTGATTAAACATCTTCATTCAAAAGGAATACCATTTGCGCTGGCAACAGGGTAAGTTTCTGTTTTTCCCTCTTAATTGTTGGTTTTGGTTTCTTAAATCAGAAATAAAATTGGCTAACATATTTCTTAGTGTCCTTTACTATCCTTTTCTTTACCTGATTAGACATGTTTCTTTGGACATTTAAGTTTCGTAAGCATTACGTATGTTACCGTAATTTTGTAGAAGTCACAGGCGGCATTTTGAGCTAAAAACACAAAGACATGGTGAGCTTTTCAAATTGATGCATCATATAGTCCTTGGTGATGATCCAGAAGTTAAAAAAGGCAAGCCAGCACCAGATGTTTTTCTAGCTGCTGCTGGAAGATTTGAGGTATAAATATCTAAGTTCTTTTACGATAATACTAGGTCTCATTTTCTTCCAAATCTTTGACATTGGAAGGGAATCGTTCATTGGATTTTGCAAGAGACTAAAAACGTTGAGGAGGATTTTGAGTGACCATGTTCACTTTTACAGCAACTGTCTCAACTCCCATGCTTAGCTTTCTACCCTTGTGAGAGGAATTTCTTAATTTTCTTTAGTTCTATTCTATAAACAAAAAAGGTCAAGGGTCTTGTTGCTTTGATTTACTTCATTTCAGTATTAGCCACATGTTAAATATCACAATTTATGGTGGCTTATGAGAACTCTTAAATTCACAGGGAGCACCAGTGGATTCACATAAGATACTTGTATTTGAAGATGCACCTTTAGGAGTTCTTGCAGCCAAGAATGCTGGGATGTAAGTGCACTTATTTTAGTAAATTTTACATGTAAATCACAATAAATCACCATTCTGTGTTGTTTCATCTAGTGAACTATTACATTTATAGCACACCATCTCATTATTTGTCCTTTCTCTTACTGTGAGCTTCAAATCCTCCCAAGCAAAAAGGGGTTTTTTTTTTTTTGATTAAAGCCTAAGGCTGATGTATATTTCTGAGAAAGAGGGCACTCATGTCCTTTCTTTTCTTACTGCATGTACACAGTGGTTTGACTTCAGAATTCCTTGTGTTGTTGCTTACTATTTCCCTGTTTTGTTTGAACCATGTAGGTCAGTGGTTATGGTTCCAGATCCACAGCTTGATAACTCTCACCATGATGCAGCAGACCAAGTTCTGAGCTCCCTTTTGGATTTCAACCCAAGTGAATGGGGTTTGCCTCCATTTGAAGATGGAGAAAGCTAAACAGGTACACCGTTTGCAGTGGTTATTTGAATGACACTTTTCCCCTAGCCCCAAACTGAAGAAGCATTCTTTCTATATTTTGATTGATTGAACGCTATAGGCGAACACCTTAACATTTGATGCATTGGTTGCCATGCATTATTTACTTTACAATTCTAAATTATGGTATGGATGCATAATAATTATGATAATTTTGGAAAGTTTAATCAGTTATCCCCTGTTCTTAACACTGAGAAGTTCAGACCTTCCAAAGGGCAAGTTCTAACTTTCATGTCAGTATTGCACACAAGCACAGATCATGAGGAAAAATTCCCGAGAAAAAAGATCTTTTATTCATACAAGGAAACAGAGAATACATATCCAACTTAGCAGTTGGAACTTCGTTTTACACTAATTTCACAAAATTTTCAATTCCTTTGCCTCTGCAATCCACAAATGATGCCAAAATCCCAAGCAGCTATGCTTCTCCTCCTCCCTTCCTCTCGTTTCTTTTCACTGGCAGTATTCGTATTCTCTTTGCCACTCGTACAAAATCCCTACATATTTCACACAAACAACAATTATTAATTAAATAGTTGTTAAAATGTGAGACATTCAGGTTGTAGTTAGCCTTTTAGGTATGAACTTAACTCAAGTGTAGGCAGCTGGTGATGTATGTATATCATAAAGAATTTTAAAAACCTTAAAATGGGCGTCTTAATACTATACGTACTTCCAATTGAGGTCGCCGGCAAGGAGAAGATCATTTTCCATGTCTTCATAGGCAATGAGGTGACCGGGAATAGCATTAGAAAGGTCGAGATTGTTTTCCGAAGTGCTTCCATCTTCAGTCCCCTCCACGAACATCTGGCGCAGAGCCTTGGCCAGACTTTGGTAGGTGGAATGCTTATGAAGACTGATGCGTTGGCAGATTGAACGGCCCTCAAGCACCACAGTCACTGGCGGGACCACGCTCGATACAGGGTCGTCAACCTCCATCAAGCCAGCGGGGAAACTCTGAGGCCTGTTATGATTAACAGAAGATGGCGAAGCAGCAGCAGCAGCACTAGTAGCACTGACAAATCTATGGTTGATGTTGTTGTTGGGGAATCTCCTGTCTTGCATTGATCTCCTTTGAGAATCAAAACTGTTCATGGTGTTTTCTCT